ATCATACTCAATGGTGCAAAATTGAAAGTTTTTCCTCTAAAATCAGGAACAAGACAAGGATATCCACTCTCACTACTCTTATTCAACATAGTCTGGAAGTCCTAACCAGAGCAATAAGGCAAGAGAAATAAATAAAAGGTATCCAAATGGTGAAGGTAGAAGCAAAAGTGTCATTTTTTGCGGATTACATGATTTTGTACATAGAAAACTTCAAAGATCCCACCAAAACTCTTTTAGAAACAATAAATTAATACAGTAAAGTTGCAGTATACAAAATAAATGTACAAAAATCTACTGCTTTCCTATATACTAAAAACAAAACTTCAGAAAAAATAGAAAAAATTCCTTCCGTAATTGTAAACAAAAAATAAAATACTTAGGAATAAACTTAACAAAGGATGTGAAAGACCTATATACTAAAACCTACAAAGTATTATTAAAATAGATTGAAAAAGGCACAACAAAATGGAAAGATATTGTTTGTTCATGGGTTGGAAGAATCAACATATTTAAAAATGCCATATTACCCAAAGCAATATACAGATTCAGTGCAATCCCCATCAAATTCTCAAAATCATCAGATATATATGGAACCACAAGTGACCCTGAATAATCAATGCAATCCTGAGAAAAAGAACGAAGCCAAATGTATCACATTACCTGGGTTCAAATTGTGCTACAGAGCTATAATAATCAAAACAGCATGGTGTTGGCAGAAAAACAAACACACAGATCAAGGGAACAGAATTGAGAGGCCAAAAATAATGTTACATGTATATAGGCAGATAATTTTCAACAAAGGAGCAAAAAGCACACAATGGAAAAAAGAGAATCTTTAATAAATGGTGATGAGAAAACTGGAAAGCCACATGCAAAAGAGAGAAACTAGATTACAGTTTTTCCCCATGTGCAAAAATTAATTCAAAATAAATCAAATACCTAAATATAAGATCTGAAACAATACGTTAAATAGAAGAAAACATAGGTACTAAACTTATGGACCGTGGTCATACAGAACATATTGTGAATTTGACCCCAAAGGCAAGGGAAGTAAAGGCAAAAAAAATAAATGAATAGGACTATATCAAACTAAAAACTTCTGCACAGCAAAGGAAAGCAACAACAAAAAAAGGCAAGCTACCAAATGGGAGATTATATTTGCAAACAACAGCTCTGATAAATTGTTAATATACAAAATATATAAAGGACTGGTATAACTCAACATCAAACAAATAAACAATTCAATTAAAAAATGGGCAGAAGACTTGAACAGACACCTCTCCCAAGAAGGCATTCAAATGGCCAACAGACACATGAAAAGATGTTCAATTTCACTAGCAATTAGGAATTGCAAATCAAAATGACAATGAGATACCACCTCACACCTGTTAAAATGGCTATTATCAATAAGACAAGTGTTGGAGAAGTTGTGGAGAACAGGGAACCCTTACTCACTGCTGGTGTGAATGTAGACTGGTACAACCACTATGGAAAGCAGTCTGGCAATTCCTCAAAAAGTTAAGAATAGAATTAATATGTGACCCAGCAACCCCTCTCCTGGGTATCTACCTAAAAAACTCTAAAGCATGTAATTGCAAAGATATATGCAATCCTATGTTCATTGCAGCATTGTTCATTGTGGTCAAGACACGGAAACAACCGAAGTGTCCTGCAATAGAGGACAGGATAAAGAAGATGTGGTACATGTACACAATGGAATACTACTCAGCCATAAGAAAGGATGAAATACTGCCATTTGGGAGGACATGGATCGACCTTGAGAATATTATGCTAAGTGAAATAAATCAACCAGAAAGAGGTAAAAATCATATGATTTTACTCATATGTGAGATATAAAACTGAAACTTGTGGACATATACAGCAGTGTGGTCATTACCAGAGAGAAGGGGGTGGAAGGTTGGTGGGGGGTTGAGGAGGTCTAATATATGGCGATGGAAGATGATTTGATTTTGGGTGGTGGGCCAACAGTACAATATTCAGATCTTTTATCACAGTAATGTACACTTGAAACCTATGTGATCCTATTAACCAATGTCACCTCAATAAATTTAATTTAAAATTAAAAAATAAACATAAGTGTAAATATATTCAAACGCTTGTTAGTATTAATATTTTGAAGTGTTATTTTCCTAGAAAAATTAATATTAAGAAAAATAAAAGTTTATATTGTACCACCGTTCTTTCTCCTCTTTGATGCTCTTCTTGCATTGTATGATATGAATTTCTGACCTATATATATATATATACTCCTCAGAGACTTAATCTTCCCCAATAATCAGCAACCCTGCTGGCAGCAAAACACAGTAGCCTGGACTTGGCTAATGGTCCCACTGTTGGGACCACTGGAAGGCTAAAGATAATACCTTGACCTAAGCATTTCAGTTCCTGAGACCAAAAATGAAAGGACGCCCCTTGGCTACTTCTCTTGACTCGGGAGAGAGGGATGCCAGAAAATACCTCAGATTGTCCTGAACTCCCAAAGAAGTGATTCATTATCCCCAAATCATCTTCGACCAGTGAGTTCCCAGCACAACCATGATGGCTTGTGGTTTTGCCCTATATAACCTGTAACCTACACATCACTGAGGAGTTCAGGCTTTTGAGTTTCCTGTTTTGTTGGATGGCACCATTCATAATAAAAGAGCCAACATTTTTCCACTGCAATTCTCAATGTCTAGTGTTTGGCTCTGCTAAGGTTGGATGGAAATTATAACACTTCTGTTCTATAACACTTGTATGGCAAGACTAATAAATTTCCTCTTTGGGTTCTTCTTGCTTGGAACTCTCTGTGCCTCCTAAACTTGTGTGACTTTTTCCTTCACCAGGTTAGGAAAGTTTTCTGCCATTATTTCTTCAAACAGGTTCCCTATCCCTTGGTCACTTTATTCACCTCCTGGTACTCCTGTGATGCAAATATTATTACTTTTAATATTGTCCCACAACTCCCTTAAACAGTCCTACTGTTTTTAATTGTTTTTGCTTTTCATATCTCTGATTGAGTGCTTTTTTCCTACCTTGTCTTCCAATCTGCTGATCCAATCCTCAGCTTCCACTACTCTGCTGTTTATTCCTTCCAATGTGTTCTTTATTTCTGCTATGTCATTCTTAATTTCCTTCGTTGTTTCAATATCTTTCTCATGCTGCTGAATATCCTTACAATCAGTATTCTGAACTCTGTATCTGATAGATTACTTATCTCCATTTCATTTATCTCTTCTGGATAATTCTTTTGTTCTTTCATTTGGGGTTTGTTTTTTTGTCTACCCAGTTTGGCTGCCTGCTTGCGTATGTTTCTATGTATTAAGTAGATCTGCTAGGACTCCCAATCTTTTTGGAGAGTCCCTGGTGCAGGCCAATGTCAGACACAGTTTGTGACTGGCCCTGAGTACCCTGTTTGGACCTATCAATGATCCAAAGCTTGTGGCTCCCTCTGCTGCATCTGGATGCATTTGGCAAGGACCAAGATGCACACCAAGTTCTGTTTTTCTTAGCCCCAGTTCCAGAAGCAGGTTAGACAAGGATTCAAAGCATCCAGAGATCCACATCTGCCTGCAGGCTGATTGTTATTCTTAGTCTCTTAGAGAGCCTCAGCTATAGTCCACAGTAAGGCTTAAACTCCACAGGGTGGGGTAAGAGGTTTTCCCACAGGGTAAGGGGTTAAGGGGTAAGAGGCTTCCCCATTAGGCAAAAGCTCTATGGATAGTAAAGGTCTGCCTGAGAAAGATGTCCTCTGCAGTATGGGGGAATGACTCAGCACAGGAATCCAGATGGCTGCCCACTGAGCTCTATTCCCAGAGCCAGCAACCCTAGATTCTCCTCACACAGCTCTAGCCCACATTGATGTCCCTCAGCTGGAGCCCAAAGTGAGTGGCTCCACATGAAATTTTGTGTGTTCACCCTTTAAGAGGGTGCATGCATTTCCAGAAACCTCTCCCTGACAGACAGAAAACCAGTTGCTTTTCACAGCCAGGTATTATGTGGGCACCTTTCTCAGTTCTGGTGCTATGAATGGGGAAGCCCAGCTAGGGGTTTAGACCCCAGAGTTCAAGTGGGAACCGTGCTATAGCTGAGGTATCCCTCTGGACATTCAGCTGCAGACTGTGGGATCCTGGACAGCCCTCTCACACCTCTGCAATTCCTACCAGTCTCTATGCAGTCTCCACTTTATGTCCTGATTTTGAGGATGCTCTCCAGCTAGTATTCAGTTGATTATTCAGGATTTTTTTTCTATATTTTAGTTGTAATTCCAGTTTGGTCCTGGGAAAGTGTCAGTGTAGCTTCCATTTAATGCACAGCCGTCTTGGAATCCTTCCCTTAAATTTTGAAGAATATTTTTGTGTTGTACAAAATTTTAAGTTAAGGATTTTTTTCTCTCAATGCTTCAAATATTTCACCCCACTCTCTTCTTGCTTTCATGAATACTGAGAAGTCAGTTGCAATTATTTTTTTCCCTTTGATAGGTAAAGATGTTTTTATCATTGATTCTTTTCAAGGACTTAAAAAAACACACAAAACTTTGATTTCTTTCAGTTTAAAAATGATATGCTTAGGTGCAGCTTTTGGCAATTCTCCTGCTTGATGTTCTCTGAGTTTTCTGGATCTGTGGTTTTGTACCTGACACTAATTTGAGGAAATTCTCAGTTTGTTTCAAGTATTTGTTCTCTTTCATTTGCTCTTTCTCCCCTTCCTCACCCTCCTCCTCCTGGTACTCCCATTGCACATGTGTTACACAGTTCATATTTCTCCCACAGTTCTTAGATATTTTTTTTGTTAATTTTAATTCTTGTAATCTTTCTTTTTGATTTTCAAGGATTTAATTTTACTGTCAAATTTTGTAGCTTGGAGATTCATTGTTCAACCATGTACTCTTTACTAAAAAAACAAACAAACAACAAAAAGATATTTTTCATTTCTGTTATAGTGATTTTAATCTCCTGCATGTCTTTTAGGTACTTTCTTAAGATTTACTTTCCTCTGCATACATTGTCCATCTTTTTCTGCAAGTTGCGTACTCTTGCATTAGAACCCTTAGGATACTAATCACAGTTGTTGTAAACTCCAAGGCTGATAATTCTAGTATCTCTGCCATGTCTGGTTCTCATGGTTTCTCTGCCTATACAAATTGTTTTGTGCCCTTTGGTATGCCTTGCAATTTTTCTTTGATAGCAGATATGACATACCAGGTAAAAGGAACTGACATAAATAAGTCTTTAGCAATATGGTGTTAATGTTGGGGGAGAGAAGTGTTCCATAATCCAATGAGTTGGACTCAGTCTTTCAGTGCACCTATGCCTCCAGATTGTGAAATTCACTAGTTTTTCTCAGTTTTTTAGTCCTGTTAGGTGGGACAAGATGGCTAGGGTGCATTGGAGTTGGGTATCTGCCCTCTCCCATTTGGTAGGTTAGATCCAGCTGGGGTTGGGTTTTTCCTTTTTCCTAGGTCAGTTGAGCTCTGGTAATACCCCAGCAGGTCAGGATCTGGTTAACTGATTTCCCTTGAGGGGAGGCCTTGCTAAGCAAAACAGAGTGCTCTGGCAGTTTTGAAATGGCATTTTCCTCTCCCCAGACCAGAAATAGGAGGAGATATTTTTCAGTATTTACTGCAAGAACCTGGTCAAGCTCCTAGAAATACTGTGGGGCATCCTTTATGGCTGGATCCCCTTGGAGTGTTTTACTCTCACAACTGTCCTCACTGAGCCTCTAGCAATTTGTCAGTTATGCTGTAGTTTCTTCTTCCCTGGCACTGGTTCTTGGGGCAGATTCTGGGGGTGTCTCTGCTCCAGTACAGAGTATCTACTTTATTTGCCTATCTCCACAATCTTGGGGACAGCAGTTTGTTCCTGTGTCCTTTCCTCTCTTATAAATCTAATAAGAGTTGTTGAATTTTAAGTCTGTTCAGCCTTTTACTTATTGTTAGAGCATGGTGGAGACTTACAAGCTTTTTACATATGGATCAGAAAACAGGAACTCTATACTTATATTTTCAGAAGAAAGGCCAAGGGACAGTGAGGGAACTGTGAAATCACATGTTCTTTATTCCAGAATTTTCCTCAATTTTTTAAGTATGACTTTTTCTCACACATGTTAGAATTTTATAACTAGATTTCTACAATATTTCCATTCTTCCTCATAATAAAAGTACAATCCATGATATTTATCCCATCATATCTATATGTGCCATTATGTAAAGCAGGGGTGAGGAAAGTCAAGACCATGGGTTGTATACAGCCCCAAAATCATTTGATCTAGCCCTTCCAAGGTAACAGCATGCAAGACCCAAACTTCAATAAATCTCGGAGCTTTTTCATAGTTAATTTTTAAGTTGATAAGTTTGTATGGCTCTTGAAGGATGTTATAAATAACCAAATGGCTCTTGGCAGAAAAAAGGTTCCCCACCCCTGATATAAAGCAGTCAGGTGAAGGCAAATAGGTAAACACTATTGAACTATGTTACACAGAGCCTGCTTTATCTTCTCATTACCATTATCAGATTGAAACGTGTGCTATGAACACACTGACATCATACTTAAAAAAGAGACAACAAAAATGGCAACAAATTTCTGACAGTATCATCTAATGGCTTCCATTTGGCAGTTCCCAGCATAATAGATTTCACTCCAGAGGTCAGGACACCAATGCAGAGATTATGCCTTCTACTGAGGACATCAATTCCAATAATTCACTTTGGAACAGGAACAATAACCGCAGGACATATTTTTGACTCACTAGGACCACTGTGAGGCAAGCCTGAGGTAAAAACTCCATTGATTCCCTGACCTCCATGAGCTCCTTCTCTGACTGGTGAACCACAGTGAGGACCCAGTCTCCTGGAATTAGTGTTAGTGCAGAGCCAGTGTCCAGGAGTCTCTGAAAGCTCTGATTCTTTCTTTTTTCTCCAGTGCTCTGTTATCCAGGTAAAAAACTGCAGGTCCCTTGGGGGAAGGCTGGGAGAAAGATTAATGGTCTAAATTTTAGTCAGTAGTCCTTTATCACAAAGTCCCTTCCATTCATTCTGGGTCTATAAATTGGCTTAATTCTGGGAAGTGATTGAGGCTCCATGACTCTGTTTTTATAATTCAAGTTAGACTTTTATTCACTTCATCTAGAACTTTTTTGTTTATACAGATCAAGTAAAAACTTATTAGGTTTAGTATCTATTTCACTTGTAGGGACACCATGATCAACTAGCCAAGGGCATAGGTCTGTGTGAGTCAGATTACTTTGATTGCTGCTTTTATTCTGCTTTCATTAGGGTAATGATATTATGGTAACCACTTCCACCATGTCTTTGGTGGTTGAGTGCAGAAGCATCTCTGCCCCAGCAATCCTGGGATCCAACTACACCAAATGTATTTATATTTTCCAATTCAGTGACCATAATTCCCACTAAAAAGTCTGGCTTACATAGAAGAGTAATCACAGAGCTCTTCAAGACATAAATTTATGTATCAAAGTCTTGGTGAAAGGTGTCTTCTAGACCATCCTAGGGTGGGTGAATTGGTCCCTCCTACCCTCCACCATCCACCATTCAGATCATCTCTTGACCCTGTTCCCATGCCATCACATTCACCTGATAACTTCATCAGCATGCCCCCCATGACGTCACAGAATGAATTTCCTACTGTTGCCGGGCAACCCAATGTTTACTTTAGAGAGCAGCGGCAGGACCAGGCGGCCCTGAGCAGGAGCGGCCTTGTCACCCGGAGGTGGTATCCACGGGAGGCGTGGCATCTGAGCACCAGAGTCCAAGTCAGGACAGCCCGGAGGTGGTGGAGCCAGCAGTTGTGCAGTACACAGGTTCTCAGTATTCTATCAGTCCCTCTGGGTTCCCATCTCTCCTTCCTCAACCCTCCTCTCCACCGTCATCCTTGTTCACTGTCACTCCCTCCACCCCAGAGCCCGGCTTTACCCGCTTATCCACAGACCTGGTGGGTTTCTGCTCCCCCTAACCATGTCTCTCCCAACCTTTTACCTATCAGGAAGCCTCACAAGTAAGATCGGCCTCATGGTGCAGTTCCTGGCCCTAAAGCGCCTCCAGAAGGAGCTCCTCGACCTTTCCCGAGACCCCCTAGACTTTTGCTCTGCAGGGCCAGTGGGTGAAGATATGTTCAAATGGCAGGGACTTATGCTGGGGCCAAAGGACAGCCCCTACCACGGAGGAGCCTTCTTCCTTAGTATCCAATTCCCGAGGGAGTACCCTTTCAAACCTCCCAAGATTCTATTCAAAACCCGAATTTACCATCCGAACGTAAATCGTAAAGGCCGTGTCAGCCTGCCCATCCTTAATTCCCAGTGGTCTCCTGCACACACACTTTCAAAAATATTGCTGTCGATCAGCGCCATGTTGTGTGAGCCCAGACCACAAGATATCCTAGTTCCAGAAATGTGGAAGATGTACAAAAATGACAGGCCAAAGTATAATATCATGGCTCAAAAATGGACGAAGAAGTATGCCATGTAATTTAAAAATAAATTATAATACCATCACTTTAATAAAACAGTTAGTTGAACTGGTTGTCTTTTGACTACTATTTATGAAGTAAGGTTTCCTCATTTTTCTGGGCACGTGTTGTAGGCCTTCCACATCAGGGTGTGTGTAGAGGGGCTAGAAGGAGGTGTGGGAGTAGGGCAAGGCTGAGGGGATGGATGAGAGTGAGACAGACAAGTTTTAATATCTACTTTAATAAAAGCTTTCTTTACTAATTTAAGATTAGGAAAGCAAAAACAAGGGGGTTCATCTTTAGGATGAGGAGAGCAGTTCTGCCAATCAGTGAGATAATTTTTAATGAAGATTTTATACAACTGATAATGCTGAGGAAAAACTGGATGAAGATTACAAAGCTATGCCCAGCCAGGCGTGGCTCAGTGGTTGAGCGTCTACCTAGGATCCATGCAATCGGGGTTCGATTTCCAGTCAGGGCACATGCCCCAGTTGCAGGCTCGATCAGTGAGTCTCTCATCATTGATGTTTCTATCTCTCTCTCTCTCCCTCTCCTTTCCTCTCTCTGAAATCAATAAAGATATATTTAAAAAAAAACAAAAACAAAAAAAACCCCACAAAGCTAATTAGGCATCCATTTTATTCTGAGGAACTTGTGTCTTCGGGTGTTTTATTTTGTTTTTGACCAAGATCAGTATTAGCCCATATTATCTATTTTCAGCTCTAAATTTAACTGGACAGTAATTAAGTGGATTAGGAGTTGTTGCAAAATAAAATGTGTGTTTTGTTCACAGACTTCAGCACCTCCTGCACCTTCATTCCCCACCTTTTTTACCACTCTGCCTCTCCTACACTCTGGGTTGTACCCTTCTTCTCAGGACATACTTATGTTGACATAAGAACATTCAACCTGTAGAGAATTTTCACAAAAAAACTTAATTGAACCAAAGAGAGAATACACCTGGAAGCAAGATCTCAACAGACAGAAATAAATGTTTCTCATGACAGTCGGCAGCTTTCATTCTTTTATGTATTTTAAATTAATGAGGGAACATAAGGAAGATTACATGAAGATGGGAGAAAGCAACGCGGAGAGTGGATTACAGGATAGTTACCAAGATTCTTTGCACTCTTGAGGGTGGGGACCCATATTTCAAAGGTGCATTAACCTAGATGCACAAGAACAATGAATAAGGCTTGCTTAATGTAAACATAAATCTTTTTCTAAAAAGGTTATATGCCTGGGGTGTGAAAACCCACCTTGACCTGCCCAGTTAGGAATTTATGATCAGATCACCCTGTGAGGTTATTTTCCATAGAATCCCTTTTTGCATCCACATCTACTGGCTCTAATTTGTCTTATTTTCTCAAGAGCTCTGTGGTGTCTGAGATCTCACCAAGCTTTCAAGCTTACATGTTACCCAGTCAGTTTCATGGAAGCTGCTGAATGATGCAGATCCTGGGTTAGAGACACAACTCTAGTCAGGGCCCAGCAGGCAGTATGAGCTTCACTAACACCAGTTCCTCTGGCCCCCAAGACCCAAAGGGGAGATGGGGAGCAGACCAGTGGGTGCTGCACACACAGTGGGTTTGTGTCACAACTGAAAGAACACAAGCTTTGTAACCTTCCGGGCTTTGAAAGGAGAATTCTAGCAAACTTAATCAACTTTTTCCCAAAGTGAGATACTATCTTCAACCCATTCAGAAAACAAATCTGTCCCCTGCCCTGGAGGGAGCTCTGTCTTCCAAGAGTGTTTGCTATGCAAACATCCTTGAAACCAATAGCCCAAGACACATGTTGACACAAGATGTGCAGAACTGCACCTCAACAGTCTTAACTTCTTGGATCTATTTTGTTATACAGGTAAAAATTAATTTCATGGAAATACTTGTAAGAAATGAAAAAAATCCAATTTTCACTTTAGAACTTGTACATTCAGGAATGTCTAATCAGTGTAATAAGCAGATTACTACCAACAGTACCTTTAAAAATACTTTATAATCTACTCCTTTTAAGGGGTGGAAAGAGATAATTATAAGGGAAAATATAAAAACATCAGTGGCTTATGATTTTTAAAATATTTATCAAAATAATCCTATAAATATATAGAAAATTTTGTTTCTGAACCAAAGGTCCTAACCCCTCAAATATAAAATTTTCTTTTAACTGTACATTCAGGTAGTGCTGCCAAATAAGATTTTTCTATGTCTAACTATTCAATAGAGTAGCGACTGGTCAATGAAGCTATTGATGTGACCAGGCAACTGGAATTTTTATTTTGTTCAATTTCAATTAACTTTAAATTAAAATATTAAGTAAATCGATTGCATTGAAATAACCATGTAAGAACAGTGGTTACTGTATTATAAAATTAGAGCTTAAGATCAGATATATGCATGTTTCATTTTAGTGTAATTCAGGGCATCATTAACATAGCTGATGATGAACCAGAGCTGGAAGAATTTATCATGGGACTTACCAGGACTGAGCTGAGACTGAAAAAGCAGAGAGAATGTGGAATGAAGACAGTGGGAGACTCCTACAAGATTAAGTGGTACTTTAGCTATTGTGCAAGCAAGTGAGGATTTTGGAAACATGGGAATATTTTTTCTTTTATCTTTCTTTTTCCCAGTAATGACTGATTTGATATTTTATGATCAAAGGCAATGTGTCAAAAGCATGGGTGCTTGAAGCCAAACCTGTGTTCTAACCCAGACTCCTCCAGTAAGTAGTTGTGTGACACTAAACAAGTTAGTTAACCCTTTTGGGCCTTAGTTTCCTCAAGTACTAAGTAAGGATATTATCTATAACACTTCCTAGAGTTTTAAAAATAAGAAGATGTATGAAAATTACCTAACCTGTGCCATTAAATATATATTCAATAATGGAAGTTGTCTTAATTATTTCTCATTATACATATTCTTTCCCAATAACCTTGTGCTGAGCAGCCTGCAAGATAGTTTGACTGGGCAATTCTATACATCCGATATCTCTAGGATTGCTGGAGGAGAAGGCAGGGACTGTGAGAATCTGTGATTTAAATTGATTTGGGAATTCACGAAAGGGTGCATTGACAAGGACAACACACAAAGTATCACCACCCCAATATTTTTTTAGGAAGACACATAAACTTCAAAGTACAAGAAAATCAAATTGAAGGCTGGATAAAAATGCAGATTTCTGAGTCCTACCTCTAGAAGGGGCCAGTAATCTGCATTTACAATCATCAAGAATGATTTGTAAGCTGGTTGAAATTGAGCACAGCTGGATAGACTGTGGATTTCATTGCATGGCTTATTCAGTTATTATTAGTTAAAAAAAAAATGGTGAGGGTCTATGTTAATGAAAGTGCCAAGATTTAATGCATTTTAACTTAGTTACAAGCATACCTCTTCTTTAACTGATATTTTTTACATAAAAATATTTTTATTCACTTTACTGGCAGTGCTCAAATCCATTTATATTTATAGATGTAGCTCAAATACTTTATAGCTTTGCAAATAAGAGAATTTGAGCTCTTTAGTCTTGTTATAAATTGTATGAAAGGCAGGAATAAGGTGTGCCTTTGGATTCATCAAGTGATTAGTGTAATTATTGTTTAAATTATTTCCAAAATTTCTTAGAGAGCGCTTGAAAAGAATATGGTTTTTGCACTTAAAATATCAGTTATTTTTATTCATCGTCACTTACTATAGGAAGCATCTTCTTCTTTTTTTTTTTTTTTTT